TTTCCAAATGGTGATGGTGGCTTTATACTAATTTGGTTTCAGTGTATTGTGTGAAGCCTTTTCTCTTCAAAAGTATGTCTTCCTGAGTGGTTTCATGGACACTATAATGAAGGAAAACATGCTAGTCAAGTCTTAGGCTTATAGAACCAAAACCTGTCTTCTCTTTTAGCCAGTTTGTTCCAAAATAGTATGGGATAAAAGTAGGTATTTAATAGTAAATCTTATTTTCCCTCTAACATTTACAAAAGTTTGAAGGTGCTCTTATTTTTCTTCTGAAATGTTGCCCTTGATACATAATAAAAATTACAAGGAAGAATCTAATATTCATTGTAGGGAGCATATATTTAATTTTTCCAGTTTAAGGGATTAGTCAGATAGATAGTCAAGGCACTCTCATTCAGAAATAGAAACGTACTTACATACTATATGGGTAATTAATTCTTGATTGACAGCTCACTGATTTGGGGGCTTTGAACATTTATAAAGCCTTGGCTCTGCTCCTTGCCCGAGACTGAATTTAACTGATTCACATCAAGTCTGTGTGCAGAGACTGGGAACAAAACTTACTTTTCATGCAGAGGAGTGGCATTACTGTGTCCTTCGGTATGCCAGCTCTTTTTAGTTTTTGCCTTAATTGCCAATATTGGCTATTAGGTGTTCTGAGATGTAATTGTAAGAACTTTTGAAATGTGATTAAACGTAAGAAAAAGTAGGGAGTAGGAGGCATTTCTGGGGTGAGTCAATTTTTGGATTGGGTAGCCAGAGGAGTTTCATCACAGAAGAAATAATACATACTAAACACTCTTTTGTTAAATACTTAAATACTTCCAAGTGAGCATGTTTTAATTTACAAGTTTCTATATGGCATTTCAACTAGCTGTATTTAATATTTGAGAAGACATTATATTCACAGAAAGTTGCTTCCTTTTTTTTATATAGGAGAATTCATCTGGATATAAAGACCTGACTGGGAGTTTTGTCACTATCTTAAAGCAAGTGGTAGGAGGAAAGCTCCCAGTGGACTTCAGTTACCACAGCGTGCCAGCCCCGTGGTTACAGATCCAGCTCTTGAGAGTACTAGGACTGCTAGGCAAAGACGACCAAAGGTAAACTATTCTAAGTAAGTTCTTTAAGGCGCATTTGGTAGCCTCAGGCTTTAGTCACCTAGAGGTCCCTGGTAAAACAGACGTTGCTGGGCTTTGCTGGCTTAGGGGTGATAAGTAAACCTGTGTACAGAATCTACTTCTGTCAGGTTGCGGGGGTCATCCTCACTGTGCTTACTCAGGTGTGCCCACTGTTATGCTTTCTTCCTGTCCCCCAGAGGTTGGGACATTTTTTTCTGCAAAGGCCAGCAAATGGCTTTGTGGGCTGCATGCTGTCTTTGGAGCCCTTAACTCTGCCCTTACAATTGAAAGTGGCTGTGGAGAGTATGTAAGTGAACGGGCTATGTTCCAGAAAACCTTTATGGCCATGAAAACTTGAATTTCAGACCGCCACATGCCCAGAAAGGATGTCTTTCTGATTTTTTCCAACCATTAAAAAAAATATCAAAATGACCTTTAGCCTGTACCGTATAAAAAGCAAGTGCAGGGCCAGGCGGTGCCAGCGCATGCTCTGGTTGCCTGTAAGGGCTTCACTTTCGGAATCTGCTCACCTTGGGTCATTCTTAGTCCATGAATTGTGTTAGACTTATTAGGTCATCTTCCCAACTATACACTTTTCGTAACTAAATTTTGCCATGCTTTTTTGAACTTACAAACTGGTGTGGCCTGGAACAGGACAAGAAAAGGTTCCTTGTACGCTGCTCCTCGATGGTGGGTTATTTCCATTCACTTCCTCATTCTCTCTCCTGTGTGCAAGTGCACACACTGCCCCCAAACTATGTGTGTGAGCAAGATCGGTTGCCTTTAATTCCTTTGAGAGCAAGGCCCTTGGCTGGAGCTCCTGATGTGTTTCTGCCTGTCAGTGTGCTGGCTGGTGCCTCCGCTCCCTGTTAGCTGCAGGGCGTGTGTGTGTTCTGACCCACTAGCCTCCCCTAGCCGTGGACCATGCTCTGGCTGTTGCCCTGGAAAAGCCTCTATGAGCCCCTGCTCAGTGCCAGCTGTACCTTGTCACCATCCCGGTACTGCCTTCGGTGTTTTTGTTTTTCTTTATTTTCAGTGTTTCCAAAGCACTGATGTAGACATGGAGTGAAAGAAAGGGATGGAGCAGAGACATGTTGGAAATGTTTGTCTTCATTGCGATTTATTTTATGGCACTCCAGTCCAACCCAGTATGGAACTGACATTTAAGGTCATTGGAATTCTATTTTAAAACCACTGATTTCATATTAGTGTGCATTATATTTTATTTGTCTAAAAAAACACTGCTGTAAGTTGAATTCGTTCACTAAATTCATGAAGTCATTGTCTGCTCTTCTTCCTGGATGGATTTTGGAGCATGCGTGCAAAGAGGAGAGGAGAGCTCCCTGCAAGTGTCCAGTGCCAAGTGGCAGCTGGGCCCAAGCAGTGAGTGAAGGCTGGAACCCTTTGAACGTCGCAGGCCACCAGGGTGCTTTCTCCTTTGCTGTGCCAACTCCAATGACATTTGATGTTCACAGGAATCTTAGAATTCATAAGGAATGATTAGTTCAGTGTGGCAAAGTAAAAATGTCATTTTATAACAGAATCTAGAGCTTTTAATGGAAAGACTAAATTCCCAGAAGAGCCTTTTCTACCCTTGCTTTTTTTTTTTTTTTTGTGGAATCAGGGACTGAACTTAGACCCTTGCACTTTCCAGGGAAGCGCTTATTCTACTGAGCCATCTCCCCAGCCCCTTGAGTCTTTTCTTGTGTTTTATAACATTGTGCTTTTTAGGTTATTAGCATTTGGCTCAAACATGTCCACGAATGCTTCCACATTTCATGTGGTTAGTTGTAACTCTTAGGCCAGACAGTGGCTTTTGAAATTGAGAAACTACACTATAATCTAGAGGTAGCCTTACTGCATTTTTAGAGGGAGGATTTGTAATGTCTGGCATTGTGAAAGAAATACTTACACAATGTAATGAGCGATTTTAGAATTTAGTCCTGGATTTTTACTTTTGGATATTTATATAGCCATCAGTCAAGACAGAATGAGGGGCCAGGGAGATAGCTCAGTAGAATAAGCGCTTGCCTGGCAAGCACAGGGTCCTGAGTTCAATCCCCAGTCCAGACTCTGTGTCAAAAAGACAAAAATAGCCAGGGGTGGTGGCTCATTCCTATAATCCCACCACTCTGAAGGCTGAGGCAGGAGGGTGGTTGTGAGTTTGAGACCAGCTTGGGCTACAAAGCGAGCTCAAGGCCAGACTGAGCTGCATAGTGAGACCGTCTTAAAAACACAAATAAATAAATAAAACAAAAAGGACAGAATGAAAGTAAATGCACTTAAGATTAAATGTTTTAGCTCTATGTTGGGAAAAAGAAGAAAATTTTTCTCAAGAGGTGTATCATTCTTGCTGTCTAATTTATACAGCCTCAGAATACTTTGGAGTTTTTGATCTGCAGACTGATTTCTCTCTAGTACCGTTGCATGTGGCATGTGTTTCTGCTTGATTGTTTTTTTCCGGTAGAGCCTTTTGAATTTGTAGAGTATATAGAAATCTGAGAAGCAGCATTTTTCACATTGACCTCTTGGAGAGGTTTTTTTGAGACTTGGAGGCAGAGTATGAGGGCTCCAGGAACAGTGCATTGTTTTTTTAAATACTGTCTATCACACTACATTATAGTATTTTTTTCTATGAATTTAGGACAGGGTCTACAGAGTGTACAGGGTCTCATTTCGTAGATCAGACTTGTAGTGAAGATACCCAGAACAGGTGTAGAAGAGTAAAATGAAATATGTAGTTTTATTTTTGTGGTTTTTTCTTTTCTGTATTTAGGACAAGGCCTGCAAGGCCTCCAGGGTCTCACTGTAGATTGGGCTCGTAGTGATTCTCCTGTCTTCAGCCTCCCAAGTGCTGGGATTACAGGCATGCACCACCATGCCCAGTCTCAGTTGCTGTCTCAGTGTGCCTGGGGGCGGGGCCAGCACAGCATGCCGGGGATCGAACCCCAGCCGCTGTGCTCTGCCTAAACAGGCTCATGACAGTATAAATTACCATTATGTACTACAATTAAGGACTAGACATAAGTGGCAGAAATTGTTAATTTCACAGACACGTAGTTGTGTGTGTGTGTGTGTGTGTGTGTGTGTGTGGCGGCACTGAATTTAGGTCCTTTGCACTAAGCTATATGGCCAGCCCGTTTTACATTAACTGTTTTTTTTTTTTTTTTTTGGTACCAAGAATGGAACTAGGACCTTGCACTTGCAAGGCAGGTGCTTAAGCTGCTGAGCTGTCTCCTTGGCCCCTTAAATTACCTTTTGAGACATGGTCTTGCTGAGTTCCTAAACTGCCCATATGGGACTCAAATTAGGCAATTCACTTGCCTCGGTCTCCCTAAGTGCTGGATGTACCACCACACCAGGCTTATTTCTTTGTTTTGATACAAATAAAAGTTAATAGTTTCTTACTGAAGAACCTAATTGCTATGTAGGGAAAGACTAGTACTTGAATATCTTTAAAACAGCAAATTGATTTTATTTTATTTTTTTTTAAACATTTATTTATTTAGTGTGTGTGTGTGTGTGTGTGTGTGTGGCCAGCTCAGCCCACCAGGGGGCGGGCCTGGCTGGCATGTGGCACTGGGGGATTGAACCGCGGTCCCTGTGCTTTGCCAAGCTTGTTCCAAGTAGGTGCTTTAGACCACTGAGCTATCTCACCAGCCCCAGCAAATTGATTTTAAATGGTGTACTGTCTGGACTAATCTGGATCTGATAAGAGAGTGTATTCAGTCAGCTAACAATCTGGTTTCTAAACGAGGGCTAGGTGAGGAGTTGTGTGACATTTGTGTCTTCTCATGGGCTAACTAGTCAACTTTGGTAGGCAGGAAGAACAACTCATGAAAAGACCAAATGAGATATTTTAGTAGTGAGATTTGTATAACTTCATAAAATGAATTTCTTTCACTTCTCTTCTGTAGATCCTCAGTTTTAAAGAGAGAGAAGTTTGAAAAACTGTGTTTTATTGGGTTAGAATACTATAATTCCACTGCAAATAAAATATCTTTTAAACAGGACAAGTGAATTAATGTATGATGTTCTTGATGAATCCTTACGAAGAGCTGAGTTAAATCACAATGTCACTTATGGTAGGTAACACGTTCCTGCTACTCCAATAACTAATGCTGTTTTTTGTATTGAAGTTAAACTTGTATTAAGAGCACTGTAAATTCCAATGGAATGTTTTGCATAATTTTAAGATTGTTCTTTGGGTTAATGTAAGCACCGAATAATAGTGATAATTTGAAATTATGCCGTTTTCTAAGTGAACTAGATTCATTATAATTGTTGCTTTATTGAAACATTTATCAAGTATCTAATTGACCATGAAGATAGTAAGATTATTTTACATTTTGTAAAATTTCTATTTCAAGACAGTTCTTAGATCAGTCAAATACTAGCCAAGTGTTTATTAAGTTTCTGTTATTTCTCAGGCTCCTGCCAGGTTCTTGGAATATAGCTGTGACTAAAACTGTGTTCTCTGTGGGCTTACAAGGTAGAGAGGCGGTGAGTGTTACCCAGGAATGCCGGGGTGCTGTAGAGGAGGCGGCAGCTGGTCTTAGGTGAGGGGAGAACAAGGCAGGTTTGCTAGGAAAGCAGATTTTAAGAAGACATCTTGTGACTGGGCTGGGTCTGAGGGTCCCTTGGCTGAGGTAAGGAATGCAACCCTCCCTGTAGAGTAAGCTCTCAGATTCACCTGACTCCCACTGCAGGAAAAGAATGTCCAGGATTTGTCAGGAAAAGACACGAGAAGGGCTTAGCGGGCAGTTGGGGCACGCTCAGAGCAGAGTGTGGGCGCTCAGAAAAATGTGCGCAGCAGCTGGAGCTGGGTGCACTGGGGTGTCCTCAAGGTGAGTGGCCCAGAATGTGTCCTGCTGTCTGTCAGGCTACAGTGCAAGCGCCAGCATGTCTCAGGTTGAGGGCCACTGTCAGCCAGGTGGCTGCTTCCTTGGGTTGGGGGAAGCACAGTTCACAGGAGAAAAGCACAGGTCTAGGGCTGCGGTTTATAGACTTACGGTCTTGAAGCTTTGTAGGATTTTTTTTTTTTCTACCCAGTTTTTATTTCTTCTACCTCAGTCTGAAGGTTGAATAAGATATAGATAAGAATATATAGATGCAGAAGAGTAACAGACATTTGTGATGAGACAGGAGACTGTCATATCTGACTTCAAAAGGTAATGCTAGGGCTGGTGAGATGGCTCAGTGGTCTAAAGCACCTCCTTAGAACAAACTGAGCCAATCAAAGTACAGGGACCGCGGTTCAATCCCCCAGCACCACATGCCAGCCAGCCCTGCCCCCTGGGGGGCTGAGCTGGCCACACTAAATAAATAAATAAATAAATAAATAAATAAATAAATAAATAAATAAAAAGGTAATGCTAGATAAGAAGAGTAAATTGAGCCAGGGGTGGACAGTTGAGGAATGAACCCAAAGTCATTTAGCCAAAGAAAGGAATTATTTTTTTGATCAGTTCAAACAAACTCAGTGAAGAAATTGAGATTTTGGGAGCTATTTGAAAGAAGTAAGTAAAACCGTTCAAAGTTTACATGCTTTGGAGAATTAGAGGAGAACTGAGAGGTCATTTAATCTGGTAAAGCACAGTTGTCCTCTGTCCAGGACCACCTCTCCCACCTACAGCAAGCTTTGTGGGTACTCAAGTCCCTCAGGGAAACTGGCACGGCCAGGTGTGGTGGTGCACTTGTGACCCCGTGTGGGCAGCATAGCGACTTAGTGAGATCCTCTTTCAAAATAAAAACTAAAAACAGGGCTGCAGAGTTAGCTTTGTGGGAAAGCCCCAGATACACTTCCCAGCACTGCAAAAACAAACAGAGGCATTGGTTTTCTGTATAACCTGCCTGTGTGCTTCTGTGTACTTTAAGCCTCTCTGGAAGAGTTCGGATACCTTATATAACATCAGTTCTCTGCACGTAGTTGTTACATGGCACTGGTTAGGGAATGGTGAGAACATTTATGTTTACAGGGACAGAATTCTCCCAGTATTTCTGCTCTGCAGTTAGGCCAGGCCAGGGCAGCCTACTGCACGAGGAACAGGTGTGGCTCTTTAGGGTAAGGGTAGGCCAGAGGGCAGACTTGAACTTGTTTAATTGAAGTCAAAAGTGCTTGACAGACAGACAGGCTGAATAGGAGCAAGGATTGCATGCCTGAGTTGGAATAGTAAATTTTTGAAGGATAGATGTATATTTTGCATGTATAAATGGTAACTAGGGCAGTAAGAATACTTCACGGCCCTGATGAAGGCCTATGAAACAAAACTTGATTTATTTAAAACAAGTTCCTGCCTGAGGAAAGAGTTGCTAACATACATCTTCTTCTGGGTTAGGTGTCAGAGATACAAGGAAGAGTGCGGTGGACTCGGTCCCTGCATAGTGTGTCATAGTCACCGATGGTGTTATCTAGTCCCTTTTTGGTGCGACTACAGGGCCATTGGTGGGAGACCTCCATGCAGCAGGTGGCTTGGCCAGGAGCGGTCAGATCCACAGGCACCCCTGTGTCTTCCTGGGCTGCTGAGGTGAATTCACCTGTGTCGTTCTCAGTGACCAGGAAGGAGCTTGGGAGGCCCCCAACGAGCTGTTAAAGATCAGTGAAGTACCTACCTGCCCTTCCCCTTTCTACTCCTCCCCTTCCTCTCTTTTGTTTCTTTCCAGAAAGCCTTATAAAATATATATTTACCCTTTTGGCTTTAATGTGTTGAGTAGGTCATATGTGTATGTGTGTAGAGTGTAGAGCGCAAAGGTGTGGAAGGCTGAGCAGTGACCCCCCTTCCCTATCTTGGGTGTGGTTGCTGTGTCTTCCCTTCCTGAGGGGTTTTGTGAAATGTCCTCCACTCAGATCCCCTTTTCGTTTTAAGATTTCTTGAAACAGCACCTATAATTTGTGGCTTTAAAATTTTTTTTCATTATTTATTTGGTATGGGTTTTGCTACACAGCTTAGACTCATAGTGATCCTCCTGTCTCAGCCTCTCCAGCCCTGGAATTACAGGCGTGCGCCACCGTGCCGTTTCTGTGGCCCGTACGGCATGCGGTGTCTAGGATTGAACCCCGGTCCATGCACTTGCCAGGCAGGCGCTTAGACCACTGAGCTCTGTGCTCAGCCCTAATTTGTGGCTCTGTAGGCTTTTCACACTTCCTGTGGTTTCTGTTTTTTCTTTATTTAGCTTTTCATCGTTACACTTTTCCCTATATTCTACTGATACAGTTTATAGCTTCATTGATTGTATCTTGGTGAATTATTCTTTAGCAATCCTAATATATTTTATTGCTTCAAATATGAATTTTAAATTTCAAGCTTTAGAACGACAGGGACTGTAGCTGTCTTGTTGACCAGAATACCCCAGTACCTGGTAGTGGGTTAATTATTGAGTAATATGTTTTAATTGAATTGAAGAGAAAATTTTTTTGTTTCTATTACCTACAGTTCCAGTACTTTAGGAATTGTAGTTTTATGGGAGTTCCATTGTTACAGCTGATTTGACTGTCCAGTCTAGAAGTAAAGGTGTCGGAGGTGTTTGTCCTGCAGGCCAGCCAGAGGCCAAGGAGGGCCAGGGCGCCCGTCCTGCTGGGCGACGAGCTGGAGCAGGAGAGGCAGTGGCCACCCCCTGCAGTGCGTGTGTGGGGGCTGGGTGTCACATGCACAGGGCAGGAGTGACCGGCACTGTGGCTGCCGGGCTGGTGCAGCACTGCTCAGGAGGCCTCCCCGCTTCCCTCCCTCCCACAGAAGATTTCAGAGTCTCCATGACTCCAGGTGACCCCAAGTGCCCCCAGTCCCCTACAGTTCCTCCCTCTCCTTGGCAGAAAGGCTCTGGTATAGGGTAGAAATTTACTTCCCCCAGGTCTGGAGATGGGTTTTCAGGACAGCTTCACGTTTTGAGTATAACCCAACCCCAGATATCAGTGATAAAATTGGTGTCATGAGGGTGAAAACAGTTCTGAGTTTTAATCAAGTGTGTTTATTTGGTACTTGGATCAGGACCTGGGTTACTGCTGAGCTGTGAACAGAGTTCCATGTTATGTTCTTAAGTTCAGAAATACTCAGAGCACTTGGATTTAACCACTACAGAGAAGGGATGTAGAGAACGCTGCTTTGTCAAGTATGGACTTAGGCTCAGAGTTTTGCGGAGCTGTAGAATAGAGACCCAACTCCAGGTGGGAAATAGTTTAAAAGTCCATTACATCTTTGGCTAAATTCAGGAAGACAAGTAGCTATGATTTCTAAACTATTAACTTTTTCCTCTACTACCATCTTAGATATGTTGTGAGTATATATGTATGTATTTAAGTTATTTATTTTTTATTTTTATTGTATTTATTTATTTATTTTTTTGTGGAACCGAGGATTGAACTCAGGCCCTTCAGTTTGCCAGGCAAACGCTCATTCTACTGAGCCATCTCCCCGGCCCCTTTATTTTGTTTTTTGAGCCAGTGTTTCCCTCTGTAGTTCTGGTTGGCCTTAAACTCAACTGTGTAGCTCAGGCTGAACTCAGACTTGCAATGACCCTCCTGCCTCAGCCTCCCAAGTGCTAGGATTACAGATGTGCCACCACGCCCAGCAGAAGTACACAATTTAGGTGGGTAGGGACAGGCTACTCTTAGAACAACAAGTTTGATGCCACGAGAGCTTTGATGGCAGGAAACTGTAAAGATGTCTGTAATGAAGGAAAGAGGAACATCATCATTTTTAATCTTATTTAGGACGGTCAGGACTCAGTGAATTTTTATTGAATAGTAAGACAGGAGAGTAACAATTGTAGGCTTTGCAGGTTGCATTGATTATATATTCTTTGTTTTCCCTTTTACAATCTTTAAAAACTATAAAAACCATTTTAAGTTGCAAACTTCCAGAAACAGACCAAAGGCTGGATTGTAGTAGTTTATCCATTTCTCCTTTAGGTAGTTACTGCAAGTTACTTGGCCAAGGAGTTGGTTTTGTTTGTGGAATTAAAAAGTATATAACTAAAATTATATGCTTGAGGTTAGTTTTAAGTAACTAGCTGGAAGATTTTTGATTAGTGGCCCTATCCTCAAAAGAATTATAGGCATCCTACAATTTTTCACAGCCCAGAGTGAAGACATTTTACAGCTTATCATTTGAATACACAGTTATGTTTAGATTTCCTTTATAGCGTGGCATTTACTAATTAAAGTCAGCTCCCTCTTAGAGAGTACTTGGGATTCTGATTTAGTTTTCCTCACTTATGGAAGAGGTTATATAATTTTTTTCTACAAAATTGTGCATTAATTGACAGACAACATAGTATAAGATGTACTTGAACATTCAGAGATCTTGTCCATAAAGAAAGGGTCTGGCTATTATGTTTTAGGAGTTTGGAGCTCAAGGACTGATCCTTTTGACACTGGATCTTCTTGGCCTGGTAGTCGAGCAATGTCTCAGTCCTCGCTGGGTCTCGCTTCGGAGGCTGTAGTTCCCCACACGTGGGACTGGCATCTCAGCAGCTCTCACCGCGCCAGAGCTAAGGTTCCTCAGCTCATACTGTAGAGAACCTGAGAAAATGTCCACATCCACATCGATCACCCTTGTTACCGCACTCTTGACTATCTAGAAGTAAAACTTGAACACTATCAAAATGTACAGTAGACTCTTGTATACTTGAGGTTAGTTTTAAGTAACTAGCTAGAAGAGTGAGTAGTGACCCTATCCTCGCAAGAATTGTAGGCATCCTAAATAATTGTATTGAAGTGAACCACACACGTAATTTCTGCGTCTAAGTGGTAGAGAGTACTTGAGCATAAACTGTTTTAAAGCGTCCTGGGAGGCCTGGGAAAGTGGACGTGTGGTTCATGTGTCCGTCAGGACCCGAGCTCCCCGAGGGCAGGGCTCTGTGAGGCTGGCTTGCTGCTGGGCCCTGCGTTCTAAGGCCACGTGTGCCATGTGAGAGGCGTGCGGTGGGGCACCTGGGCGAGAACGATGGCTCTGACCTGTGAGCAGTGCCGCACCCTCTAAGTCATACTGCAGCTATGATTTCACTAGGCCTAGAAAGAGTAGAGGTTGTTTGTTTGAAATTTTTCTGTAAATAAGATTTTTGGGGCCGGGGAGATAGCTCAGTAGGATAAGTGCCTGCCGGGCAAGTGCAGGGTCCTGAGTTCAAGTCCTGGTACTAAAAAAAAAAAAAAAAAAAGATTTTTGACTAAAACTGATGTTCTAGTTAGTTTGCTTTAAGTTGTCCACAAATATGTTCTTATTGTGCTATTTTTTTAATTTTTTTTTAGCTATTCTGTTTGAATGTGTACATACAGTCTACTCTATTTATCCTAAGTCAGAATTACTTGAGAAGGCTGCAAAATGCATTGGAAAATTTGTTCTGTCACCTAAAATAAATCTGAAATACTTAGGTAAGTTGGTCGATCTTTGGTGGAGAGTGTGGAATGAGCTTTGAAATTCACTGGGCACTTGCTTCAGCCACTTCCTATTATGTGATCTTTGCTTCTAGGCCTGAAGGCTCTCACCTATGTTGTCCAGCAGGACCCCACTCTGGCTCTTCAACACCAGATGACAATAATTGAATGCTTGGACCATCCTGATCCCATTATTAAAAGAGAGGTAAACTGGTAATGTCATTTGTGAAATGTTAAAACTGTGAACTCTTCGCTGGTATTTTGCAGATTTAATTGGTGGGCTGTGTATGTTTTAATTTTGCATATGTATATTTTCAGTGAAGTTGTTTTTTTTTTTTTTTTTTTTTTGGTGGAACTGGGGATTGAACTCAGATCCTTGCATTTGCTGGTCAAGAGCTTATCCTACTGAGCCATCTCCCCAGCCCCTCAGTGAAGTTTAAGTAACTTTTCTAAAAGTACTTTAAGTGCCCACAGAAATGTCTTTAAATGGTGATTGGAGAGGTTATATCCAATTATCTGAGTCTAATAGTTTTTTTAGCCTAAACATTATAACAATGGGGACCTGAATGTTAGTCCTAAGACTTCATATTAGTACAGTAAGATATGATTTATGATGGTTAATTAGGTTTTCATTATTCTCTGTCTATAAAATTTGTTAATGAATTCACTATTAAGTAGATAGGGATATAAAAGAATTAGTGGAGCTGTAAAAGGCTCAAGTCAACAACTTCTGACAGTGCCAGTCATGCGGATAACCCACTACTATTATAGACTACTGGGCTATATTGGATTACTTTGCTGAATTCACGCACCTACAATATATGAATGGCAATAGAATACCCATCTCTGACAAAAGTAAACAAAAAAAAGGATGGGGCTGGCGAGATGGCTCAGTGGTCTAAAGCACCTACTTGGAACAAGCTTGGCAAATCACAGGGACCACGGTTCAATCCCCCAGCACCACATGCCAGCCAGCCCTGCCCCCTGGTGGACTGAGCTGGCTACACACACACACACACACACACACACTAAATAAATAAATAAATGTTAAAAAAAAAACAAAAGGATATAAGTGAAGGACCATTTTGTAGTGAAAAAGCAAACAAATAAAATATATATATCTCTGTCTGTATATACAAAATAGTATAGATATATAGCTACTTTTAGTTCAATGAGAAGAAAATTTTGAACTAATAATGTTTAGATAAGATATCATGTCTGCGTCTCGTACTATGAATAACTACTACAAAGACTACAATATGCGATGTATTAATTATTGTAACTGTCCTACTAACCTGTTTTGAAACTGTCTCATTGCTACTTCTTTCTCAATAAAATTAATATAAAAAGAAAGAATTAGTGAAGGTATCCATAACGCAATTTGAATTTCTTGAGAGAGGGCGTATAATCATGTACTTAGGTTTGTGTCAACACTTTTTTATAAAAGTGCATTAGTGCTCACTTGGATGTCTATATGAATATTTTTATTAATTTTCATATAAAGAAATCACTCTGTCTCTTCATTTAAAATGATATATGGGACCTAGTGAAGAAGAGTGAAAACTTTTAAAGTAATAAAGTTAGAAAAAGAGAATGTGCTATTTAAATATCTTAAGGCAGTGAGATAAAAATAGAGCTATTGTGTGAACACTTAATTCCATTGTTATTATTATTTGTATTTAGTATAGGGTCTAGTGAGTCTAGAGGGTCTTACTACACAGATCGGGCTCCTAGTGATTCTCCTATTTTCAGCCTCCCAAGCGCTGGGATTGTAGGCACACACCACCATACCTAGTCTCGATCGCTGTCTCAGCATGCCCTGGGGGTGGGGCTGGCGCAGCATGCCTGGGATCGAACCCTGGTCATTGTGTGCCTAAGCAGGTGCTTTAGTCTGCTAACTTTTTCAAATATGAATTTTGAATTTATAAGGAATTTTTGAAATAAGAGTACAAGATTTGCTTTCATATTCATATGCATATATGTAGATTTAGTCACATATTTAAATTTTCTGAAAATTGTTCCCTCCACCAGCCTTGGATACGTTTGGGAAGCTTCAGATGTAGCACCATCAGTGTTGGCATTGTAGAAAAGTGGGAAGGCGCTAATGCACACCAGAACTAATCACGCAGCCCTTGCCACCTGCAGAATATGCGTGCTCTTGGTGTACTTGGCTGTTAACACAGGTTGCATAGGTGTAATTTCCTTATTGCTGTATGCAGCAATTGGGCTCTTGCTGAGAAATGAGAGGAAAATAGGAAACTTTTAAAATCACCAAGTCTGATGTGTGTGGTGCCTTGCTTGCAGAGAAGAGTAGCTTGCATTCTTTGGGGAAGGGCTTGTCCCCAGAAGGTACTGTCCTCATGTCTCCCAAGTGCCATTGTCATTTCTAACCTCTCACAGTAGTGGCATGGAGGGACTTTGGTCCCTGGAAATGGAGTGTCATTGTTTTCTTCCTTTGCTTTCATACAAAGGAAAAAGCAAGAAAGGAAGAGCTGTCAAGGCCAAACGGAAGACATGGTAGCCATGTGATTCCAGTATGCTGTTTTGTCTAGTTCTGGAAATGAATGCCAAATTCAGGATCTTCTAGCAAGAAATACTCATAGTGTAGATTATCAAAGAGAGAACATGTTTGGAGTCCAGAGAGAGCATGTCTGAAACTGAGAGCTATTGGTGGAGGTGACCTATGTATTTATAGATTTTAAATGAAGTTAAGTATTAAATGAATTTTAAAAAGAAAATGTTTCAAGGGCTGGCCAGATAGCTTAGTGGACTAAAGCACCTTCTTGGGCAGATGCAAGGGCCAGGGGTTCAGTTCCCCAGCCTGCCATGCCAGCCCTGCCCCCAGCATGTGCTGCAGCAAATGAGACTGGGCGTGGTGGTTATGTACCTGTGATCTCAGTGTTTGGAAGGCTGAAAACAGGAGGATCACTATGAGCCTGATCTGTGTAGTGAGACCTTATAGGCCCTGTACTAAATACCAAAAAATAAAAATAAAAAATAAAAAAAAAAAAGAAAATGTTTCACAACATGTTATTTGTACTTGAAGTCCTGACTATAAACATTGAAAAATCAGAAAACTCCCTAAAGATCATTTCAACACATTTGATAAATGGGCTAGGTGGAAACTGCTTTGTAGATATGGTCCTTTCTCAGTGTTGTCCTTGACTCATGGGTCACTGGGAGTTATAAGGTCTTTAGAACTTTGGACCTTGGGAAGCCAGCCACACGGGAGCTTGCTCTGGTTCTGGTCCTTCTTACCTGAGACAGCAGAGGAACATTCATTAGTACCTGCAAAGTCTCTATGAGGTGGTCCTTGCTTGATACCTGAGGCTCTGAACGTAGGTCTTGCTAAACTCTGAAGGGCTTGAGCTACTCGGCTTTGTCCATCTGTTGGAAACCACCAGCCGTCTCAAGTACTAGTTTCTGTTGTTTAGACTGCTCAGGGAATACTGCGTGTGTACACACGTGTACACACACACCCCCCGCTAGGTATAACTAGTGAATACTTATACCTGTTACATGTTTAGAAAATGTTGTAAACCTTGTAATATTTTCGTTCTTACATATTCTTTTTTTTTTGTGCAACTGGGGATTGAACTCAGGCCCTTGTGCTTGCCAGGGAAGTGCTTATTCCATTGAGCTATTTCCCCAGCCAGTTTTTACATATTCTGTCATGTAGAAATGTCATATATTCATTATCCTAATAGAAAATATTTAGACTTTCAAATTCATCTTGTCTCTCTTCCTTTTTTTATATTTTTCTTTTTCTTCTTCCCTTTTCTTCTCCCCTCCTGTTCCCTCCCCTCTTCTATCCCCTCTTCTTCCCTCCCTTCTCCTTTCTCTTCTTTCTCCTTCCTTCCTTCCTTCCTTCCTTCCTTCCTTCCTTCCTTCCTTCCTTCCTTCCTTCCAGCAGGATCTTCCTGTGTAGCTTGGGCTAGCCTTGGACTTGAAATCCTTCTGCCTCAGCCTCCTGAGTAGTAGTATTACGGGCATATAGCACCACGTCCAACTATAATTTACTTTTTGGCAAGCAATTTGCTTTTCTTTAACTCTTTGTAGTTGCAATTTGCATTTCTTGAATTTCACTTATTAACAGACTGCCCAGTAGCGCTACATACAAGTGAAATACTCCGTTGTATTATGAACACATACATTACTGTAGCTTTTGATGTTATGGCACATAGTTTTATAATGCTGTTTTTACTTCTCTTCCTCAAATAGACTCTGGAACTTCTTTACAGAATTACAAATTCACAGAATGTGACAGTTATTGTCCAGAAGATGCTTGAATATTTACGTCAGAGCAAAGAAGAATATATTATTGTCAACTTAGTTGGCAAAATAGCTGAGTTGGCTGAGAAATATCCTTTGCTTGGACCCTGAGTCGTAAAATACCCTTGATTAGTCATTGTAAAATGATTGGTATAGATGGAGTCACTTGAAGTTGGGTTCAGACACCGAGTAATAAATTGCATTTTTGAGTTGTAAGCCTTTAATTGTTCAGTATAGGAGTTTGTGCAGACTTCTTGGGGGATGGCTTTTTCCTGTGTGTGTGTTCAGTTTGTCAACAGGAAAACAGTGGACTGTTTACCCTGTTCCTCATCCTCTCGGTCTGGTGGGGGGAGTGGTGGAGACTGAGCTTAGCCGCACCCCTGAGCCACCCCGGAGCCATGCCCATTCCCACTTCCTGTGCGCCCTGGAGTTTCTTTTCTGAGTGAAAGTTCTTGTTTGGGGAAAGGAAGGAGTAGGTAGAGGACCACGATCCTAAAATGCATCTTCTGTAGTGTTCGTCCTGGCACTTGTTGTAGTAAAGCAGTTGGAACCTCAGCTTGCAGTTCACTTCTCTTCACCTTGGTTTTAGAGTGAGAAACTTACAGGCTTATAAGGATATGGCAGCCTTTTAAAAATGTCTGTTTAATTCTAGGAGTGAACGAGTGGGTAGTGTTAAAGAATCTTGGAAATTGCTGAAATATAGCACTGACCTAGACCGTGCTGTAGCCCTGGCCCAGAGGAGCGATCGTCTCGGAGCCAGCGTGGGACATGAGTGACAGACAGGAGGTGGGGGCTTGTCAGTCGCTCCATGGCGTTCGGCCTCCCAGGGTGCAGAGGACTTTCCCATTATTTATTTTTCCCTAGTTGGCTGCTCATTTCTGAGTTATTTTGCGTTTATGAATAGGATGCTTACTGTGGAATAGCCCAGTGCTAGAGAAAGTAACAAACTCAATTTATAAATTAATTGGATATCCATTTTACATAAAACTGGGGTAGAGAACATTTGACAGCAGAGGTTAAAGGAGACAGAGCTAAACTAGAATGGGTCGGGGTTATTTTTAAAAGGTTGCTGCAGAAAGGATAATTTTAGTAAGTGGCACTTGGAAGTGACTTGTTCTTGACACCATGGACACATATGCTCCTGATAACGCGTGGTTTATTCAGACGATGAATGCTGTGTTTTCAGTAGGAGGAGATGTCATGCACCCTGATATCCCCAGTAACTTTCTGAGGCTGCTAGCAGAAGGTTGGTAATGACTTTAAGTTAAGTGTGTTTTATTTTTTATTACAGAGTCCTTAGGGAATTTAGTGGCAATTAAAATGCTGTGTCAATTGATTTGCAGGTTTTGATGATGAGACAGAAGATCAGCAATTAAGAGTCTATGCAGTTCAGTCTTATCTCAGTTTACTAGATGTGGAAAATGTATTTTATCCACAGAGATTTCTTCAAGTTATGAGTTGGGTGAGTAAAGTACATTATGTTACACAACTTTGTAACTATATTTTATGAAAACCAAGCACTGCCATACTTCCTCCAGAAATCACTCAGTTCCACTCAGCAAACTCTTGTCTGTCTTTTCTCTCTGCAAGCTCCCACAAGCAGGTGTTTATCTGGGTCTCTGTGTGTGTTTACATTGTTTGTCCTGTGTTTTGTGTGAGTCTGTGTTTGAATTTCCATATCTGTATTGTATTTTAATTTTGTATTGCCTCCTAGCAGTGTTAGTGCAAACCTGTGGCTTCAAACGGCCCAGGTTCTGTGGTCAGGGCTGCAGGCCTGGCTTAGCTGGGTTCTTTTGCTTAGGTCTCCGTGGACTGCTGTCCCCTCTGGACCTTGACTGATAGAGGACCCACTTCCCGACTGCGGCTGCCGGTCACAGTCACCATGCTGGCTCCAATTATCTTGCTGGTTAAAGATTGGCGTGCCTTAGTTCTGTTCACCTTTTCTCCTATTCCCCTCCCTACTAGCTGTACATTTTCCTTTGCCTCTCTTTTCTTGCTGGTGTCAATATTACACTTGACATGAAGGTATTCCATAAATGCCATTTAGGAATGCTTCCTCTTCCCAATTCACTTTGTAAATGATTGTTAGGCCAACAGGATTGTATGTCACCTAAGTAAGTTAGACTTAGGAGAGAGGATGTGTACCATCTGCCCTGTGGACCATCTGTTTGGAACCACTGGCGCTTGCCCTAAATATGAGCCTGCAGTCCTCACTGCAGCTGTACTAATTAGACTGTTTGAAGGAAGAAACCAGCCATCTCTCTTGGGGTTTTGATTTTTCCTTTATTTTTAATAGTGTGGCGCTGGGGCTTAAACCCAGAGCTATCACACTGAGCTGTGTACAACAAGTCGTAGCTGATATTTTATTTGAGACAGGGATTTGCTGAGTCATAAGTCGCACAGGCTGGGCCTGAACTTGCGATCCTCCTGCCTCAGCCTCCAAAATTGCTGGGATTAAGGTGTGCATCACCAGGTCTAGATAGAAGCCTATGTTTTATGAAACACTGCAGATTACTCTTATGCATCCTAACATGAGAGCTGCTTATTTAAACTCATGCTGGAAAGTAATGACAGAATGTGAAAGTACTTCTAAAAGCCACCAATTTAAAAATTGAGACCAGCTAGACTTGGTGGTGCATACCTATAATCCTAGCTTTAAGGAGGCCAAGGCAGGAGGATCAACATGAATTTGAGGCCAGCCTGAGCTACATAGCTCAAAGTCTTCTTAAACTACATAGCAAAAGCCTGTCTCAACAAAACAAAACAAAACAAAAATTCAAAAGAAAACTGATTTCTAGAGATATTTTTGGTTTATATATTGTTAATGACAAATATGTGGACTTTTTTTTTGTAAAAGGAATTGAAATCAAACCTTGCGTGTTCCAGGCAAGCTCTGTGCTGTTGCGCAGTATCTCCAGAGAAAATCTTTTTATATTGATTTTTATTTCTTCTGTTTTGAGCATATCATTCTTGGTATTATTTTAAACCTAAAATCTAGATTTTTTTTCTTTGATAGTTTCTTCACTGTGAGAGTATGTTTAATATAGGTTAATTTCACTTTTTACTGTGTAACTTCCTGTCTATGTAATGCCTCTTTGTATTATTCCTAGGTGTTAGGAGAATATTCTTACCTCTTAGATAAAGAAAAGCCAGAGGAAGTTATAAACAGGCTCTATAAGTTACTTATGAGTGACTCCGTTTCTTCAGAAACAAAAGCCTGGTTGATTGCTGCAGTGACCAAGTTGACACCTCAGGCACAGACTTCTAGTACAGTGGAGAGATTGATCCAGGATTTCAGTGTATCTTTGGATACATGTATGAGACAGCACACATTCGAATTAAAGCATTTGCATGAGAATGTGGAAGTTATGAAGAACCTGCTTCCGGTCAATAAGAGCTGCGAAGAGCTGGTGGTAAGACGTCTGTGTCCCATCTTTTAAAAAGTTGTGTTGTCTAAACATATGGAGTTACTTCTTCATTTGTGATATATAACGAGTGCATCAAAGTATGGTTTGTGTGGTGCTAAGAAGAATGTTAGAAGTTTTCTCATGTTAGTAGGAAAGAAAATTTGAGCGCTTCCATTCGGTACTGATTCCAAACCATCAGGAACAGAAAGCTGTCTTTTCTGGGGAACTGTAGTAAAGATGTTTATGTCCTGTAATGATATAATGTAATGATCCCTTTTATATTTTTTTAAAGAGTAGGGAAATGTATTGGCAAAAAGAAGTGGGGACTAGGAGTAGCTCCTGAGAGATGGGCGGGGCCTGAGTGGGCTGCCCGTGACCCTCTTAATACATGGTGGTTTAGGAATGTATTTTGTCGCATTTGAAATTCTGTAAGTCATTTTTACTTTATTTTCTTTTTCTCCTTCCTTCCTTTTCTTGCAGTATTGGGGAACCAAGCCCAGGGTTTCACACTGAGTTACATCCCCAGCCCTTTTTTAATTTTTTATTTTGAAACAGTCTTGCTGAATTGCCAGACTGGGCTCAGATCCTCCTGGCTCAGACTCCCAGAGTGCTGGGATTACAGGTAGGAGCCACTACGCTGGGCTCATTCTCTGTTTTCTTTGAGGATATTTTAAAAAAAAGATCCTCAAGTACATTTTGTGCATCAGCTATCTAAATTCTGTACTGCTTGGAATCTGACCATCAGCCTTAGTTCTCAGGTTTTCACGTCTGGTGTCACTTTGAACCTTGCTCCTTACTCCTCTCAGCAGCTCTCACAGGTGGAGGCCTCGCTTCAGCATTCAGTAGGCATTCTAGACGTGTTCCCTGAAACAGTGACTGCGCTCGCTCGCGTGACTCCACGTGTTGGCGCTGGTCATTGCCCTTCCCTTCCCCCAGTAAAAATGATAGTGCTGTAGCCCCATCTCCTCAGAATTGTACTGAAGCAGTCCCTTTCCAAGTTCAGAGTGTGAGATGTCACTCTCTATTTGAGAATTATGCGCTGTTGTACATTATCTGAGCTGTTTACACTTATGTCCAAATTGGACAATCAAATCTCTGGTTTCTGAGATCATCCTGCTTTCCTCTTCTGAATGCATCACTTTCTGTATCTCCTCATCTTTTCTCCTTTTCCCTTCACTCTTTCTTCCTCTTTATTTCTTTATCTTTCCACTTAGAAAAGAATCTCTTGTACCTTTCAACTCTTGCTTTATTAACTTGTGAAAAAGCATTTTCAGATGCAAGGAATAGAATAGTAAGGGCACTGTGGGAAGCTGAGTAAGACCTCTCAAAAATGTCTAGTTCTTAATCTCTGGAGACTGCACATATGTCACCTTATATGTAAACATGTTGTAGATGTGATAATGTTTAATATTTTGTGATTGGGAGGTTGTCCCAGGTTGTCTCGGTTAGTCAAGGATGTAATCTCTAGGATCAGAGAGAAGAAACAAAATAGAAGCAAAAGCAAAGGTAGCAGTGCTGTGGCCTTAAGCTAAGCAACATAGGTGACCCCCGGAACCAAAAGACACAGGTGGAGATTCTCCCCGGAGCACAGAAGGCGCTAGCCCTGCTGCACTGGTGTTAGCCGTCAGGAGCAGAAGGCCAGTGCGGTCACCCTGACTTCCAGGGCGTGTGCCTGTCTCTTCTGGAAGGATAAGCCTGATGCGGCACCCTGTGTATTAGGTGCTTCCAATCGATTGTGCTGACAGCAAAATTGTATTAACTGCAGATGCGTTACCCTGGACGAGTCATAGCTGGGCGATCTGACTATCAGTACTGCAGAAAACTAGAGTCGAGTAGCATTTTTAGAATTGAGGCTTCTGTTTTTACCTTAATATTTTATTTAAGGATATATAGGATCAAAGTATAGAGTTTTGCAAGAGTTGAAAGGTACAAGAGGTGTGAGTATAGTCTGCTGCTTAGAGTGAATGTTTGAATTCCTGATTTCTACTTAATTTTAATATAGGTAGATGCTTCCTTATCTTTCCTGGATGGGTATGTGGCTGAAGGACTCAGTCGGGGGGCAGCACCTTACAAACCTCACCACCAACGCCAGGAGGAAAAGCTTTCTCAGGAAAAAGGTATTTTTTTATGGGCCTATAATAAGCTAGGTTATGAGGACATAATTTTTATGCAGTTGACATTATAGTTATGCAAGTAAATGACTAAGGACATTTATTTTTTATTATCCCACCTTAAAACTACTTGTGATTTTCTTAGCCTGACTAGGTTTTCAGACACTCAGAAATCAAAGTTAGCTTTTAAAGCTTTCCGAAGCCATGATCTGCACACGCGTAAACGCCTAAGTTGGAGCGCTCTTCTCAGGTTGGGCAGCACGGGAAGGCGGAGTGGCCCTTGGGCTGGGGGCTGGCACGCGTAGTGTGAGCACAGCTGCGCAGTTTCGGAAGAAACCCTAATTACTGGGGACCAGCGAGTTACATTTTCATCCTGAGCCATCTGATGCTAAATATGAGAAGACGTCCAACAAAATACCTGATGAGTTCGGAGGAGCTGAGAAAGAAAAGGGTCGTTTTATGCCTGTTGGGGAATTTCTGCCATGATTTTAATAAAGATGCACTCATTAAGTTACTAGGTGAGGGGCCGGGGAGATGGCTCAGTCCAGGCAAGGGCCTGAGCTCAATCCCCGGTTCCGCAAAAAAAAGTTATTAGGTGATGCATAGGAAGTGGGCACACGAATGAAGGGAAAGCACGTGTTGGTGTTCAGAGTGTCGGTGGTGAGCATTTATTCATTTAGAAAATTTAGACACTGAAAGATCTTTTAAAATTTTACTTATCATTCTGTGATTTTTTTGAAGTAGGTATTATTTATGGGCTGTTAGTGTTGTTTAGTTATGAGCATAACTAAACAGTTGATCCTAAAGTGAGACCAAGAAGATAAACACTGTTAATAGGCATGATGTTGTCTTTTTTACAGAGGCGTCTGCTCTTTTAATTTTTACATTTAATTTTTTTCATTTTATTTTAATAAGAGCACAACCTGAGATCTACCTAACACATTTTTAGGCATATGTTGCGTTATTGTTGCCTTATCGATCCAGTGTTATACAGCCTGTGTTAGTGAGCTTTCCTGTCACTGGGACAAAGCACCCAATGCCCACAACCTAAAGAAGAGGGCTTTAACTTGGCTCCCATGCCTGGCTGGCTCCAAGAGGAAGTGGCCCAGTGGAAGGATCTGGTGGAGGAGAGCTGCTCACCTCAGGGCGGCCAGGACGCAGGGAGGAGCTGGTGGGGAGCGGCCCCTCCAGAGGTGCCCGATGGCGCGCTGCTCCTGACCAGGCCCCCGGAGGGCCACTCCCCAGATGCGCGCAGCACGCCCGTGATCCAGCCTCCTTCCAGAAGCCTCTGGCAGGAGACTTGGGGAGCATTCTAGATCCAAACCCTGATGGTGTTCCCCATTTTTACCTTGCAGCTCTGCAGACTTGACTTTCTTAGATTCTCTTAGGTGAGATCATTCTCTGTGTGCCTTTCTGTGACTATTTCACTTAGCATAGTGTCCTCAGATTCCATCCATGTCATCACATATTTCAGAATTTTCACCTTTTTAGGCTAGATAGTATTTCTTTATATGTATACACCACATTTTCTTTACATGCCTCTGTTATGGATACTTGGATTATTTTCATATCTGAGCTGTTGGCAGTGCCGCCATGAACATGGGAATACTGATAGCTCTCCAAAGTCTGTTTTGAGTGCTTGTAGATGAATACCTGGGAGTAGGACTGCTGGGTCATCTGTTTGTAGTTTTTCAAGAGAATCTACACACTGTTTTGCATAGTGGCCACTCCATTTTACATTCCCATCAGTGGTGTGCATGGGTTCCAGTTTTTAACGTTCTTGCCAATTTTTGCCTTTTTCTTTTAGTACCAGCTATTCTGACAGGTGTGAATATTTCATGGTGATTTTGATGAGCATTTCTCTTTTTTTTATGTTTTGGCACAGGGCTGTTCTGGGTCTCACTATGTAGATTGGACTTGTAGTGATCCTCCTGTTTTCAGCCTCCCAAGTGCTGGGATTACAGGCATGTACCACCGTGCCCAGTCTCTCAGTCTCAGTTGCGGCTCAATGTGCCCTGGGGGCAGGGCCGGCACAGCATGCCAAGGATCAAACTCAGGCCATTGCGCTCTGCTTAAGCACGCACTTTAGTTCACTGAACTATCTGGCCGGCCCTGAGCATTTCTCTTGTGATTAATGACTAAGCATATTTTCATATACCTATTGACCATCTGTATATCTTCTTTGGAGCAAAGTTTATTCAAGTCCTTAGCTTAATTTTTAATCAGATTATTAATTTTTTTGGTATCGAATCATAGGAATTCCTTATATAGTTTTACAGATTAACCCCTCATCAGATGCATGGCTTGAAAGTATTGTCTCCCATTCTGTAGATTCCTTTTCATTGTCTTGTTTCCAATTTGGTGTCTTACTTGTTGTTACCTACACTTTTGATGAAATCTATGAAATCTTATGGAGCAGGGAGAGAAAGGCATCCAAGTTGGAATGGAAGAAGTAAAATTGTTCGTTTTTAAACTTATTTATTTATTGGATACAGGATCTCGCTGTGCAACTCAGATTCATAGTGATCCTCCTGTCAGCCTCCCCAGCGCTGGGATTACAGCTGTGTGCTACCACACCAGGTTTCGGGGCCTTCATGATGTGCCTAGCGTTCCAGGCCTGGCACAGCATGAAGTACCTCCTGGGGATTGAACCCGGGTCCTTGTACTTGCCAGCCAGGCACTTAGACCACTGAACTATCTCCCCAGTCCAAAAAGTATTCCTCTTTGTGAACAACATGATTTTATATGTAGAAAACTGTAAAGAATCCCTGAAGACACTCTCAGAACTAATAAATTCAGTGAAGTTGGAGACTTGAAAATCAGTGTACAAATCAGTTTCATTTCTTTCTACTGACCAGTTTATTTCAGAAGGAAAATAGGAAAACAGCTTTATTTACAATGCTGCTACAAAGAATATACCTATGTATGAACTTAACAAGGTGGATAGTGTATATATTGAACCACTATAAAACACTGAAGAAAAAAATCAGACAGAACACACACAAATGGAAGCATAGCCTATGTTCATAAATGTCTTTACGACTCTGTGATCTATAATTTCAAAGAATCTGTGTTAAGATTTTTGATATGTTATTTAATGTTACCTAACAACTCCTGCCCCATTAAATTCTGTATATATTGATGGGTTGTTTGGGAGAAAAGATGAAGTTTTAGAATGGTATTGCCCACTCTGTAGCTACTCCTCATAAAGGTCTGTGGCATCCTGGGCACAAACCCACATGGAGACGGGGCCCAGTTCTGTTCTGGGGTCCACTTGGAAGGACTTTTTGTTTTTGGTGAGCTCAGGATGCCTTCAGGGCAAGTCTGGTGTGGCTTGAGGATGTGCGGATTGAGCCACAGCCTCCTGAGCTTGACTGCCTTGTGTAAGCAGGCACTTAAATAATAACTTGAGTTAATGGGCAGCCCCCCCCCCCCAGATATGACCATTTGTTCTGGTCTAGAGTCTGTGTGGAGATGGGCCATTTGTCCTGCTCTGGAGTCCACCTGGAGATAGGACCAGGTTCTATCTTATTTTCTGAGGTCTGGAGGCCGGCAGTTGCTATTACTGAAGCCAGGGTGGGATAGGAAGGGGAAGTAGGATGGAGAGCCTCATTCCTGACGCTGCCTTTTTTCTTTCTTAAAATAAGTTAAATGGCTGGTGGAAATACAATACACAGCCCTGAATTCCCTAAGCTGATGCAGTTTTTGCCAAGTACATTTTTTTGTAGAGTCATTATAAATGAGAGTAAGCTCTTAAATTAGCCTTTTCTTCTTGCTTCCCAAATCTGTTTCTCAGAAGTTCTTTAAAGCAAAATTGAAATTGCATGAATTTAGATTGATACAGAAAAGGAATTTGGCTGTGAGGCAATACATGCTGTTTAATAAATACTTGTGGAGTAAATTACAAAATTATATGACTTAAAATTATGTTTGGCAAGGCCAGTGAGATAGCTCTGCGGATTAAGCATTTGCTTAGGCAAGCGCAAGGGCCAGAGTTCGATCCCTGGCACCACATGCCATCCCGGCCCCTCCTCCCCTCCCTTGGGCACTCTGAGCCTGCGATGAAGTCTGGGTGTGGTGGCACATGCCTGTAATCCCATCACTAGAGAGGCTGAAAACAGGAGGATCACTACGAGTCCAAGCCACATTGTGAGACCCTGCACCCAAAAAAAAAAAAAAAAAATTGTATTTGGCTATAAGACAGAAAATAAAGAATAGGATAAGATAGGTTAAAATAGACATTTTTGCATACAGCGTGGTTAATTCTGGAACCCTACAAATGTCAGTCAGTTCTGATACTTTGGAAACTTTTATAAATCATTTGTACAGAGAATGAGGTAAATGAAACTTTAATGTGTAATACCTAACTTTCTTGGTTATAAAAAAAGTTTGGTTTATAAGAAAAAACTTCAGGAAAATATAAGATACTAAGAGTTGGCAAAAATAAATGAGAACAGACTTACCAGTTCCCACCTAAGAAAAGCATTTTTAGGAGTCAATGTTGATTATAGTATAAAACATTATTCAAAAATATTGTAGCTTCAGTGTAGAATAACACAAGAAATAGTATGGGGAAAGAGTGTAATTTCCTCTGTTGAACTGTGGCTTTTAGAAAACCACATCAATTGAGGTTGTCTCTCAAAAAATAAAATTGGACATGGTGGTACACACCTGAAACCAGCACACTGGGAGGCTGAGGTAGGAGGATTACATCAATGATTTAGCAAGACGCTGTCTCAGACTTTAAAAAAACAGGCCAGGAAGGTAACTCACTGCAAAGGCCCCAGGTTCCGTTCCCAGTACTGCAAAAATAGATAAAATATAGTAAAATAATAATAAATAGTTTAAATAACTTACATACTCAACATTAAATAAGAATAGCTAAGAATGGCCAGAGAAGTATAGCCAAGTGGTCAGGACATAAAGCATTGCCAAGAAAATTACATAAAGGAGTGTGTACATTAGCCAGGCCTCTGACATAATGAGGGGTGCAACAGGTTGGCGTCGGTCGCCTGTGCCCCCTCCCTCGAGTGTGTTCTGTTACTCCAGTAACCCAGCTTCGGGGCGGGGCTTCCTCGAGTCCGCTAATGCAGTCTCTTCTGCGAGAGCCGCCCAGCCCCCTGCACCCTGGTCGCTTCTGCTTGTGCAGCGGCCAGCCTTCCTTCCCGTCCTCTTCTGGCAGTCTGTTCTTGTGCGCCCTGCACGCACACCGCGCTAATGCCGCAGATGCCGTGTCCTTTTAGTCGAGCATCCTCGCGTGAATCATGGGCAGTTTTCACTAAACAGTGAGAGTTAGGTGATTGGGATTTCATTCTCACCCTAAGCCTTTCCAGGCCTGCCCTCGATGACAGTCTTTAATTCTTTTTTTCTCAGGATGGGGATTTTATCTCTCTCTTCTCTAGATTCTTTACATATCTAGGTAGTTTTTTTTTTTTTTTTTTCTTCTGTCTACTTTCAGATTCTCTGTCTCTAATTTTAAAGTTTTCTGCTCTTTGGTTTAACTTCTGTGCTTAGTAGTGCATAGGGCTTCTTGTGCGAGGTCCTGGTGCTGCGGTGCTAATGCAGAGGCTGGGGACTGTCCCAGCGGCTGTTCAGGAGGCCAAGGACAGTGCTGAGGGAGAGGACGTTCTGGGCAAAAGAAGCCTGAGAGCTGCTTACACAGGCAGTTCCCAACTGTGACTGTGAATCAGAGTCATAAAGAGGTTTTGTTTTCTTTAACGAGGCAAATTTTGGAGCACTACTTATAATACCTTCTTCACCTGAATCTCTGAAAGCTTGGATCTGCGTGTGGAAAGATTCTCGGACGGTTCTATCAAGCCTGCTCGCTCAGGTGTATCAGCACCTGGGAACTTGCCTTAGTCCTAACTCCACTTTTTGGATGAAGGAATGGAATGCTGCTTGTCAACCTAATTCATAGCAGACTTACTCTGGGAATTTATTCTCCTGATCCTTAGCCCTGCTTTTTTTTCATGTGGTTTCCATTCCTTGTCATTCACTTAGCTAACAGGCAGGTTTTTTTATTGGTACACTTTAGATATACATAGAGATCACACTCATCATGGGGAATTTGTACCTGTGCGTGGTTTGCTGTGTTTCTTTTCCATTCCCCTCCCCTCTTCTCCCTTCTTTCCTTTTTTATTTATAAAAGCTTTGTTTTCATTTATTCTGTTCTTTTTTCTTCTTGTCCCTTCTCCCCCCTCTCTTGGTCCTCTTCTCATTTGAACATTTTCTTCCCATTTCTCACTGTCCATATATATTTTGGTCCTTATTTATACTTTTGTTTTCTCACACCAGGGAAACCACTTGATATTTACACGTGTGTCCATTTTATTTTACTTACAAGTATGGTCTCAAGGTGCCTTGATTTACCTAGAAATGTCTTGAGCTCATACTTCTTATGGCTGAGTGTAGTACTCGATTGTATTTTTAGAGACCCCACATGTTACTTATCCATTCATTGATTGATGGGCATTTGGGCGCTTCCCAAGGTTTAGCTATTACGAATGTGCCACTGTTAGCATGGGTGTGCTACTTCGCTGTGGTATGATGCTTTTAGTTCTTCCGAGAAGATAACAGGAAGGGGAATAGCTGGGTCAAATCAAAGCTTCAGGTTTGTTTTTTTTTTTTTGAGGAATCTCCACACTGATTTTCACAGTGGTTGCACCAGTCTACACTCCTACCAACAGTGCAGAAGGGTTCTCCTCACAGCCTCACCAGCATTTGTTATTGATTGATTTCTTGATAATAGCCATTCTTTATGAAGCTAGTTCCTGGCTGAGGCTGGAACCTAGCTTATTCATCCTGTAGCACTCTGCGTGCCTGCTGCTGGCTTGAAATTGGCTCCTGGCCTCCTGCTGACTTGAACTCGGCAGCCTCACCCTGACGCTGGTAGCTGCCAGATGGAGCTGCCCTCAGTGATTCTGAATTCTGAGCTCAGTTGGCCCCTCTCCAAGATGGCTGCCTGCCAGTCACCCTCTCCTGGGAGACATCTGAACCCGAATGACTCACTAACCACTGCAGTCTGCTGTGACCACTGCTCCATTCCACTGGTGCATCTCTCTGGAGGCCTCTGAGGATGCCAGTGGTCACTGGCACATTGAAGATTTACTTCATCAGATTATTTGGTATAAGAATATCTTACTAAGCAAAACTACCTGTCACCTTGTTCTTTACTGGAGTCTCTCTCTTCGCTCTACCCATGGGCTTCAGTTCTTGCTTCCCTTTCTGGCTCCCAGAGATCTACTTCTGTCCTTCTCTTCCTCATGTTGCTGTCTTCCAGGGTCTAGACAACAAATCTCAGAGAGGCTTTCTCTGCTACTCCGCACTCTGTCATCTTCCTGGAAGTCGTCCAGGAAGTTCTCTAGTGCTGTTTGGAGTAGGTGCCGTTTCCTCTGAAGGAGGCCGTATTAACACCATAGTTGGGTGGACAACATTGGAGCTTGTATCTGGGTTTCTCTGGCTCTCTTGTTTTCTGTGTTTGTAATCCAGGGTAGGTTTGTGGATTACAAATCTTGCCAGGCTCCTCTTTTATGAAATGTGGATAATTTCAGAGATTGACTTGTTTGCCAAGACACTTTTTATATTTAAGAGGGCCTTTTTTGTTATAACCTAGAGCCATAAAAGGTACATTTGGGATTAGATTTAGCTAATTAGAATGTTAAAAAATATGAACAACCTGAAGCCTTACACAAGGGAGAGTTCGTGCTGTCTTCCATTGAAGAGACTGAGAGATGAGTCGTATGAAGCCCAGGGCTAAGGATGGCTTCATGATGATACAAACCTGGACTCCACCTCGCTTGCTGCTCAGGCGTTTTTCTTTGCTCCATCATTTCCAAGCCCAGACAGCTGCTGCTCTGCCAGTCAGCATGCACAATAGCCAACAGGAAAGACAGACATGGAGGAGAGATTGTGCTCCTCCCAGAAGGGCTCCTCCCCAAGTTGTACACCAGATGTACAGATGCCAGACGTAATTGGCCAGTGTTCTGATTGCATGGCAAAGAAGTCTGGAAATGTCCCTTTTCTGGCTGGCCCTGGCCCTAGCTACGAAGGGAAGGCTTTGCTAGGCCTGTTGGTGCACAGATGTAGTCCCAGCACTCTGGGAGGTTAAGGCAGGAGGACTGCAAGTTTGTGTTCAGTCCAGGCAACTTCATGACGTAGTAAGACCATGGCTCAAAATAAAAAAATGAAAAGGACTAGGCATGTAGCACAGTGTGAGGGCCCTGGGGTCAATCCTCAGTGCCTTCAAAAACAATAAAGATGACAGTTCATAGAGAATGAGCATGGATATCGGTCTCTTCTCTGCCATAATAACTATGCATTTTCATGTCTCTGAATTCATTTAGGTTATACCGATTTTGAAGAATCAGAACCCAAGTAAAACTTGTTCTCTGCCAGGAAGGGAGATTTCACATTGAAGACTTACTTCATCAGATTGTTTGGTATAAGAATATCTTACTAAGCAAAACATGGTTATAGCTCATAATTTATTTTTGTATGAATGCAGCTACTTTTCAGTAGACCTGGTTTATCACTTATCTTTTTTACTTAAATTATTTTTAGCTTCTAAGGGAAATAAAGAGGTAGAAATGAAGGACATTTTGTCTCCATCATCTACTATTTGGAGATACTGTCATACATGTTCAATAAAAGGTAGCCACAGTATTATTAATCATTATTGACATAATTATAATAAATTTTATTACTAAAGCTCCTTATAATTTAAGAATTATAGTGGATTCTGGTTTTCAGTTATTTCAGAGGTGAATGGACTGATAAATTTTGCTTTTTTGCTTTGTTTTAAACATGAACCTCTGTTATTGTTTTAAAATCCTAGTTCTCAATTTTGAACCATATGGACTCTCCTTTTCCTCATCTGGTTTCACTGGACGACAGTCTCCTGCTGGCATTTCTCTTGGTTCAGACATATCTGGGAACAGTGCTGAGACAGGGCTGAAAGAGTAAGTTCTTTTCTCATGAAAATTGATGGCATGGGGGGTTAAATGCCTCAGCACTCCAGCTGCCCTTGTCATTGTCAAGTTCAGTTATGAGCTAACTGCGCTGTTAGCTGGTGGAACCCCATCGGGTAGGCTCCGAGGTTGTATTGGTGAGGGTGGTGTGCTTCTCCCCAGCTCCTCCGAGTCTCTCTTTTGCTCTTTGTTCTCCTGCTGCTGTGGGGTGAGTAGCTGTCCTCCCGTGCTCCCCTGTATGCCTCATTTCTGCTTTGGGTTAGCCAGCAATGGACCGAACTCACTGGGAACTGAGCCAAGTAGCGTCTCCTTCTCTAAGTTGTGGGTGCTGGGTACTCTGTCCTAGCAACAGGAAGAGGAACTAATACGCATCTTGGGTCATTTCCAGACTCCTGGTGCAACCAGTTGCAAAGACTTGTGTATCGCTGTATCGCATGGTCAGGAGTAATCACAGTGACTCTCCTACCTCTCTGGTCCTAATTTTCTGCACTGACCAGCTTTCCCTTTGCAGGGACAGAATGCCTGGTACTGGCATGTTCCAAGGGGGAGAGGTTCAATTTGGCTCATGGTTTCAAGATTTTGCCCTTGGCTGGCTGCTCTGAGGCAGGCAGAGCTTGTTGGAAGGAGTTGGCTGAGGAAAGTCTCCCTCAACTCATGGCAGGCAGTCGGGAAGCAGAGAAGAGGGAAGAGCCAGTGACAGGTGGGGCCTCAGCGCCACGGCCTTGTGACTCACCAGAAACACAGGAGCCTCTCGCTCTTCTCCTGGGCACCTTGCAAGCAGTCACGCTGACTGCCACGGTGCAGCTCACAAGTAATAGTCACAGCATCGTTGTCACCACTCGGTGTCTGCATCCACCAAATGAAATCAGTGATGATTCTGAATTGTTTGGGTCCATGTACTGATAGACCATACAGTAATGAAAGGGTCTGTTCCTTATAATGCGCTCTATGTAAAAGTTCAAGATTTCTATGGAATAGCATTGTTGGACTAAATGTGATAAAATCTCAAAGGTGAGAGCTTTAAAGGATGACATTTAAATTTTAAGTTTCCTTAGTCATTAAGAAATCAGTCACTACTTTTTTTTTGTGGAACCGGGGATTGAACTCAGGCCCTTGTGCTTGCCAGGCAAGTACTTACTGAGCTAACTCCCCAGCCTAAGTGATAGCTTTTTTTTTTGGCTCCCAATGCCTTCAGGGCATGATTGGCTGGCTTGTGTTGTGGGGATCGAACCACAGCAACCTGAGCCTGACTGCTTTGTTGAAGCAGCCACTTAAAGAACTGAGCTACGGGGCAGGCCCCCAAAGAGTCGGGACGGGGGCGCGAACCGGCAACCTCGCGCTCTAGAGCCCGGCACGGAAACCGCTGCGCTAGTCGCCGCCTGTGATAGCTTGTTAAGTGCCACGAGTGGAAGTTCTCCTTGCCCTGTTTTCCCCTGCTCTATTTGCACCCTTATTTTCTTTGCCAGACATTTAACTTCAGTGCTCCCAACATGGGAGAGATGTGGTTTGTGAATGTGTGATAGTGCAGATGACAGCAAATAAGTGTGCAAAACAGGGAACAGAGGAGCAGGGGAAGGAGAGACAGGAACCTTCCACACCCAGGAGGAGCTTACACAGTATTTAAAAAGAAATAATTAAAAAATTTGTATTCTTCCGTGTCTGCAGTACTGATGATTACACTCAGCACAGGGCTTCGGCATATGCGCATATCGCACCTTCTTCCTACATCGCATGCCCCCCCATCCCTCATCCCCTCCCCGCCAGCTGTACTGGGGAGCACTTGCCGCTGGGGGTGGGGGCCTTGCCAGGCCTCCAGGACGGGTCCTGTCCTTGGAGGGCTGCCACTGGCCCGGAGTGCTGAGGAGTAGAGGAGTGTGTGCTGGCTCATCGTGATGTGGAACGTAAGGGCTGAGGGTAAAATTTGAAAGAGCCCCTTGGCGCTCTTCACTGCTCGTTAGGGGCCTGTGTGGTGCTTGGCAGGTGAGTCACCATGGGCCAGCGCTGCTTCTCCAGTGTGCAAGGGGAGGCAGGCTAGCAGTGCGCCCTCCTCCCCATCGGTCTCAGGGAAGCCCTCACTGCTCGGCTCCCCAGCTCAGGTGGGCATTGCTAGAACGGAGCTGAGAAACAGCTCTAGTCTTCCCAACTTGTCAGAGTTTATGTCTGTGTGCAAATGTTCTGATTAAAAACAACACAGAGGCATGCTATATAAAACCATGTATTAGTATTGTTAGAACCCAGGTATATATGATTAATATTTAAAAAATACTCCTTTACAAAGTTTTGTGTTGTTCAGAGGCATACTTGGTGTTTATAATAGCCTACGTTGCTCTTCAGGCATGTCCTCACTTTTTGGACTGTCTATATGAAATTTATAATGGGAAATTTATTTTGGCAGAAGTGTTTTTTTTTTTTTTTTTTTTTTTTTTAATAAACAATCTTATGCTGCACCTCAAGTTCCTAGAAAAAGAA